TTTCACAGATGAGTAACTGAGGATAAGAAACTCAATGACTTGCTCAAAAACTTACAAACGTTAACTGCTGTCATGTAAAATAAAGGACCAAAGAAATCAATGAAACTCATCACAAACATTATATTTAAAATGCTACTTAAATATTAAAATTTTACTTGATGCTTATGATTGAAAAAATGTATTTACTGTTGTTTAACTGTTAAAGACGTCAGATTTTTTGCATTAGTTTCTCCTTTGGGCTGTTCGTTTTTTCATTTTATGTTTTGTCCTTGCAACTTTTTTAAAAGTTCACCAATGTCTGTTTCATTATAAGGACCTGGAATCCTGCCAAAGAATCATGCACTCAAGGAACAGGTGACCATGCATGCAGCTCAGTGACTTCAAGCAGAGAGACATGAATATATGCAGATAATAAAGGGAATTAGGGCTCCCACGGGACCAAAACGAATAACCAACTCCTTACCACTTGCCTAAAATATCTCCCAAGGATCATATACGTCACCAGAGTCAGGAATTTTGTTTTCTGAAGCAGGAGACGCAAACCAATGCAACTATTATTACTCTTTCATTAACACAGTGTGGTAGCTTGGGTCTCCAGTAATCCCAGTGGAATCGAATGTTAACTAAATGCTTCCCCAAATCAGGAGCCAGGACAGCATGGCTTGAACATGGATATCGAGATCTTCAGGTTGTTTTTACAAGTGGCTAGTCTCTTAGCTTCATAAAGTTTGGTAATAATAATTGATTAAGTCATTAACCAAGGATACGAGGAAGAAATGAAATGATCAGAGGGTGCTCAAAAACAATACCTACATTAACCCTAGCTGGTGTGGCTCAGTGGATGGGGTGCCAGCCTGTGAAGCAAAATATCACAGGTTCAATTCCCAGTCAGGGCTCATCCCTGGGTGGCAGGTCCCCAGTTGGGGGCGTGCGAGAGGCAAGAGATAACCGATCAATGAATCTCTTGCAAGTTGGTGTTTCTCTCCCTGTCTCTCTCTCTCTCCCTTCCCCTCTCTCTAAAAATAAATAAATAGAATCTTTTTTAAAAATTATTACATGAAAAACACTTCCTTCAACTTGCTGAAATTATTTTTTTTAAAAGTCTTTAGCAGGCCTGTCAGTTCTTAAATATATATTAAAAGAGATAAAATATACATTCAAGGTTCAGACAAATGAAGGAAGCCTCAAAATCTCAGGATTAAGGTGAGAACACTTTCAGAGGTATACATGGAACAAATACTCCTGAACTTTATCATGTTTAACAAAATAGTCCTTTCAAATTAATATATTTGTACCGTGATTAATTTCGTATCAAATACACAAGCAAAATTTTTACTGAAGCTAAAAGATTTGCCTATTGAGTTGACATAGCAGATTAAGACACATAATAGTCAGCCAAAGCTTGAAATATGAGGATATCCTTCTACTGCGTTCCTACATGGGTTTGAAGTAACCTTAGACTTAAGTTGGCACTACCACTCAATAGGCAAGTTTCACAGGCCCATAAAACTTCTGAGTGATAAATAAAACGTGGTCTATCCATACAGTAGAATCTCATTTGGCAATAAATGGGAAAGAAGTACTGACGCATGTCACAACATAGATGAACCTTGAAAGCATTAGACTAAGCAAAAGAAGCCAGTCACAAAGAATCACATGTTATATGATTCCCTTTATATCAAATGTCCAGAATAACATCCATAGAGATAGAAAAATTATTAGTCAGTGGTTGTCTAGGGATAAGAGGACCAGGGGAAATGAGGAATGACTGCTAATGGGTACAGGGTTTCTTTTGGGGGTGATGAAAATTTTCTAAAATTGATTGTAATGATGCACAAGTCTATGAATTTACTAAAAATCACTGAATTGCACACTTCAAGAGGAGGAATTCTAAGGAATGTGAATTACAGCTCAATAAAGCTGTTACCTGTTTAATAAAAATTTCTACAGCCTTCAAATCATGATTTTTAAGCTTTTTTCTAAAAAACCTTAGTTCAGCTCTCTTTAAAATTATAGTATAACTACCCCTTTACTTTAACTATTAAAATCCTTTCTTTCAGAAATACATGCGTAAGTATGTAATGGCTGACATTTTAAGTGGGATTTAACTTAAAATAACCCAGTAGGCATTAAGGGGGGGAAAGGTGTGAGTATAAAGTGGGCATGAGTGGGCAGCCTCTGAAGCCGGGCGATGGGTAAACAAAGGTTTGTTATACTATTCTCTCTATATTTGCTGAGATTGTAAAATTTCATAATAAAAGATTAAAAGTGGAGAGTGGTTCTTAAGGCTTCCTGGTCACTTCTATGCCATCTCTCTATTTTCTTTTTCTTTTTTTTTAATATACACATATCAAAATATTTACAGATGAAATAACGCGATGTCTGATATTTGCTTCAAAATAAATAGGAAGCTAATCTGATTAACGGACTGGGAAGCACGATGGAGAGAATCCCTCCCCTGCCTGGAACACCCCCCCTCCCGCAGTTACCAGAACACACAGGCCCAGCAGCAAATCCAGGAAGAAGTGCAGACGAAACAATTGTTGGATCTGGGTGAGGACAGATGAAGGTTCGTTGGACAGTGTTTGAACAAAGGTAAAATTTTTCACAGTCCAGAGTTTTTAAAAAAATACCTTTCTCACATACATAAATTCAAAAACTATGCTACTGATGAGACTTTTTCCTAAAATACCTAGAGAGTCATGGTGCCTAATGCCATCCTCAAATCCTACTGAGTGGTTTCAGAGATGCAGATTCTGTTGGTTCTGCCACTTTGCAAATTCTGAGGTCAACCTCAGAAACAGGCCACAAAAAATAAGAACAAAAAACAGTTGCAAGTTTGCATATAGAGCTGGGAACAAGGGGCAGAAAATGTCCCTATAGAAAAGAACTTATTTCCAAATAACTGATTCTTTCCCTGATCTGGTTTCCTGAGTCCTGGAAACAAGGACACACCCAGCCAGCAGGCCCAGGGAAGGGCCTTCGTCTTCTGGGTGATGTCTTTCTTTCTCTCTTTCTTTCTTTCTTTCTTTCTTTCTTTCTTTCTTTCTTTCTTTCTTTCTTTCTTTCTTTCTTTCTCTCTTTCTTTCTCTTTCTTTCACACTTCATCAACTCCAGCTGTGGCTTGAGAGACATCTAAGTGCATTTACATCTGGAAAAATTCACAATTGTACACCTGATTTCGGGTTTTAATTTTAGCAGGGAAAAAAATAATTTTCAATAATCCTAAACTAACTATCTTTGAGAATACAAGAGATTATGATTTCACCAAGAGAAAATCCCTAAAAATGGCCCTGGCTGGTGTGGCTCAGTGGTTTGAGCACCGGCCTGTGAACCAAAGGGACTCTGGTTCGATCCCCAGTCAGGGCGAACGCCTGGGTTGCAGGCCAGGTCCCCCATAGGGAGTGCGCAAGAGGCAATCACACATGGATGTTTCTCTCCCTCTCTTTCTCCCTCTCTTCCCCTCTCTCTAAAAAATAAATAAATAAATCTTTAAATACTACTACTACTAATTTTTTTAAAAAGAAAGTCCCTAAAAATGTACACAAGTTCCATTTCTGGCCCACGGTATTTAGAGAAATAAAATGCACCCACCATTTGGCTGAATTTAGTCTGGCAAGTGGACTAAAAAGCAAAATGGATCTAGTTCGTACCCAGTCAGAAACACCCCTCCTCCTGGAGTTTTAAACAGTCAGGGAGGCCAGCAGGAGAGCTCAAGAGCAGGGCTAAGAGCATAGGATTCTTTTTACCTGGTACACAGACTGTGAACCCCAGTAACCAGAGCATGGGTTGTACCACACTAAGATTCTCCAGCATAAAAGTATTTCAAAGGAGAGGAAACTGGCATCAGTTTAAGTATAAAATGTCAGTCCAGCCTCCAGGTACTTAATGTTCTTATCAAACAATTACTTTGGGTTCAGTGAGTTCTCCCTATTTTCTTAGAATATGGTCTTGAACCTGGGTATGTGAGGACCCGCAAAAGGACAATTTTTGTGCATGTAGAACGTATGTTCATTACAGATCCTCGTGAAAACTAAAGGCACTGCCAGCCTTTTAGATTTAGTTAGTTCATAAAAAGGTCATTAACTTGAAAATATTCATCTTCCACAATCTTTCCATGAAGACGCATTTCCAAGTCTCCCAGCCTCAAGCAAACCTCAAGAGTTTGGATGCCTAGAAAGCTGTGAAATTGCTGAGGTTAGGAAGAGTAGCCACCCAGCGTCCACACACGCTTAAGGCCAGGTACCATTGCCCCAGATTCACCTTTCCCCACCGAGGAGGCAGACATCTCCAGCTCACTGTCCCAGCTCCTGGGGCTTTGGCAAGCTCGTGCAAAAAGATGGTTCAGGCTCTGGAGAAGTAAGTTCTGCACAGCAGCCTGTGTGGCTCCAAGAGCCCAGTGGGGGCTGAGAGCCCTCCTTTAATGACCAGGTACAAGCACGAGTTTACACACACCCTTTCATTACTTTCGCACTCATCTTCAGAGACATTTCACATTTGTCATGTCTTAAGGGGGAAGAGAATAAATGACGTGCCTCAGTCAAGCTGTCACTTCACCTACATATCCACCTACTATGTGCCAAGCACTGTTTACATCAGTGAACAAAACAACAAAATCCCTGCCCTCCTCGAACGGACGTTGTCAGTGAAATAAACACTTAATGATCAAAAGATTAATCATTGCTCCCACTTTCCTGCCACCCATCCCCATCCTTCCAATCTCCCAAAGAGCTGGGAACCTGTTTTATTCTATTACTTTGACAGGGACAACAAAATCCTTTAGCTTGCGAGAACTAGACACCGTCCAGGTGCAACCCAACTCACCCCTCAACTCCATTCTCTTGGAGCTTTTTTTTTTTGCAAAAACTTCATCTGGCCTGAGGGGCTGTGGTCCCCACCTGCAGCCCCGGACGCCCAGTTCTGGAGAGGACCCGCTAGAGCCCGTGGTTCCCTGGAGGGGGGTGCCCTGCGGAGACAAGCGGGAACTGCAAGGTACTCACCGAGGAGCCAGCCCAGAACGGGCACGCGTTCTTCACCTGAGGGGAGCTGCTCAGCGATAGCGCCCCGAAGCTGAGTGCCACCATGCAGCACCCCAGGATCAGCTGTAGCAGCCCGAGCGACAGCAACGGACGAGCGGGCAGCCCCGCGGAGCTCGGGGCGGCAGCGGCCACGGCGGCGGCCCGGCGGGAGGAGAGCGCGGGCGGCGCGCCCAGCACCCCGGCGGCGGTGGCCGAGCAGCGAGGCCGCAGAGGGGGCTGCAGCGCGGCCCGGGGCCAGCGCGGCCGCAGCGGGGGCAGCGGCGGCTCCTGGGCCGCTGTGGCCGCGGCGCCCGGGCCCCCGGCCTGCTGCCCGCCCGAGAGCCCAGCCACCGGGCAGCAGGAGCCCGGGAGCACCACGGGCAGGGACATGTATGGGCGGGTAAGGGAGCGGCCAAGGGCGGCAGGGAGGGGACGCCAAGCGGGACCTCGGGCGCCACGCACTGGGCACCGCGGGCGGGCTCCGTAGACAGGGGGGAGGGAAGGAAATGTGCACAGCCCAACCACTTGCTGCTGCCGCGGCCTCCGCTGCCTCCGCCGCCGCCGCTGGACCGGCTGCCCCGGCACCCGCCGGCCGCTCACACCTGCCACCCGGCAAGTCCGCCTCCGGGCGATCCATGGCGCACCCCTACTCTCACCCACATACATCCACGCGTGCCCTGCACTGTGGCCGCCAGGCTGCAGCAACCTTTGGCTCATAACCGAGTCCGCGCCCGCTCCTGGGGGTGCAGGAAAGATGCCCAGCCCCATTTTTTTAAAAATAGGTCCCTGGGACTAGGAGGGACACCGCAGACCACGCGCATTGAAGCTAGCGCTGACAACCTAGGAGTCGTCTCCCCACCCGCCGAGCTGGGGCTGGACAGCAGCGCAGGGAAAGCGCTGAGACCCTCGCCCTTTTCTGGTTCAGCCAAGAGCGGGACCCTGGCAACATTCACTGCGAAGGGAGCCCGGCTTTAAACTTTCCCCACTCCACCCCCAGGAGGGGGCATGGCCGGAGGAGGGGCTATAGGTGACTTGGTGGGAAAACTCTAAGCCGCAGGGCTTCGGGGAAGGACTAAGCAGAGCTAAGTCAGGCTTCCTGGCGCGGACACCGCGCTAGGGCCCTGCCGCCGGCAAGGGGGCGGGGAAGAGGGCTGGGTAAGTAAGGCCCGCGTGCTGTCCGAGCACCAGGGTAGGCGCGAGTGTGAGCAGGAAGGTTACCTAGGAAGTACCCAGAATGCAGAAAAAAAGAGGAGCAGCCCAGAGCACGTGGCTAAGGTTACATTCTGTGTCCACCTCACCTTGAGCCTTACTAGGCATCACCTTGTAGAACATAGAATCCCCATCTTATCAAAAGAAAAAAAAATCCTAATATAATCCTAACCTGTTTTTGGTAAGTTATAAGACATATTTAGAGCAATTTTAAAAAAAAGAAAAGATGATTCGACTTCATGAAACGATTTTTCGCTAATAACATTTCCTTCCCTTGGAAGGATTCTTATGCCTTGAACGTGTTGTTTTATGTAAAATGCAAATCTACTATAATAGATTTTTTTCCCCAGGTTAAGAGCCAGCGCACTGCCACTTTGTACTTAGTCAGCCTCAGCATTAGGCAGCTCATTTTATCAGTAAGGTGAGGGTATTTAACATCCTCCTGCCCAATAAAATAAGGGAAATGTGTATCTGGTTTTATGCTCTGGTTGCAAAGGCTGTGTTTATTTTGGTCATTACTTCAACCCACAATGTAATGCATTGCTAATGTTGCATGTGTGCTTACACAGACACTTTTTGAATTATTAGAGCATCTGTGATTGAGTCCCAAGGACTTCTACAAACTCCTCTTAAAAATAAACTTCTAATCCTGGAGAAAAGGGGATCTGTCTTTTAAAATAAATGTTTTAAAGTATGTTGTTTCATACACTGTAAAAACATCTTACAGTACATGTTCTTAAATTGCAGGTGATGGTTAAATTAAAAACACCTTGTATGCTGAGTTTATTTTATTTTTAGAGAGAAGGGAAGGGAGGGAGAAAGACAGAGAGAGAAACATCCACTGGCTGCCGCTCATGGCCTCAGGGACCAAACCCACAGCCTCGGCGCATGTCTGTGTCAGGAGTCCAACCTGAGACCTTTTGCTTTGCAGGACGATACCCAACCTACTAAGCCACACTGGTCACAGCATTGTATGCTGAGTTTATACCTTTTATTTTATACGCAAGCTTCAAAGTATTTAATCTTGAAGATTCTACTATACTGCACAATATAAAAAATCTGACTGAGTCTCGAGAAATTCCGTCATTTTAATAAATCTATTCCATTGGTCAATCCTGAACACCTGAAATGTACTACTAAAAGTGTGTTCTTTGCGTCTAGGAATGTTGATGCTAGAGGTCAGATAGCCGCTGTCCCGTGGGTGGTGAATGACTGCACAGGGAAGGGCTCCAGGGGAGCTGATAGCCATCTGGTTCTTGCTGTAAGAACTAGTTACCTGGACGAAGCTCACTTTGAGAAAATTCATGGAGTTACACATTGTGCACACCTCTGTATCTTATAAACACTTTAAAGTATTCCTAAGTACTTTACTCTTAAATTGTTTTTTAAGTCTGTTTCCCTATATTGGAACAGATGATAGCAGAGGTAATTAAAACCCATAGATGGTTATATCCAATAGCTTTTCCTATTTTTGTTTCAGACCACTAAACCTTTTCCAAAGCTGTTAATTAAGAATCACTGGGGCCCTGACCAGGCAGCTTAGTTAGTTGGAGCTTGGTTAGTTAGATTGTCCCACACATCAGAAACACTGCAGGTTCAATTCTTGGTCAGGGCACATAGTTAGGTTGCAGGTTTGATCCCGTTGAGGGTGCATACTGGAGGTAACCAATTAATGTCTGTCGGTCTCTCTCTCTTCCCCTTACCCTCATTTCTCATTTCCTCTCACTCTAAAAATCAATAAACATATCCTCAGGTGAGGATAAAAAGAAAAGAGTTGTTGCATTGTAGTTTTCTTTTTTTCTTTTTCTTTTTGTTATTGGACACATTTGTGGCTGTGAGTTTCTTTTTCTGCTTATTTTAAACATGAAGCCATGTAACACTGCCCCAAACTTTAAGGTTATGCTGAATAACAATCTTGAGTATTTGAGTTTTGGAGTTTTAGATTTTGTAATCCAAGTTTGATTCTTTGCATCCCCAAACACTTGCTTACAATAAGTCTTTAGTTATACCTGATCAAGCTGAGCTGCATGAAACTAAACACTTAGAGGATGATTCAGAGCCATTGATTCCAGATTGGCTTAAAAACATAAAGTGAGGACTTTAGAAAACAATCTGGCAGTTCCTCAAAAAGTTAAACACAAAGTTATCATTTGGCCCAGTAATTTCATTCCTAGGTATATACCCAACAGAAATGAATACATACGTCCACACAAAAACTTGTATACACATTGCAATACTCACAATAGCCAAAAGGTAGAAGCAACCCAAGTATGGATGAATGGGTAAACAAACTCTCATAATCCATGCAATGGAATGTTTTGGGTAATAAAAAAGGAATAAAGTGCTGATACGCACTACAACATGAACAAACCTTGAAAACATTATGCTAATGTTAAGTGAAATAAGTCAGGTAGAATAAGACAAGACCCATACAATTTCACTCATATATGGATATAAAACAGAAAGCAACAAATGAACAAACAAAGCAAGCAAATAAACTCATATACACAGATAACAGCATGGTGGTTACCCGAGGAGAAGAGGGGAGGCGGGGAGAAGGGGAGGAGGGGAGGCGGGGAGGAGGGGAGGAGGGGAAGAGGGGTGGAGGGGTGATGGGAGGATGAAGAAGGTCAAGGAGGTCAAATATATGGTGACAGAAGGAGACTAGACTTTGGGCAGTAAGCACACAATGCAACGTATAGAGGATGTGTTATGGAACTGTACACTTGAAACTTATATTTAATAGCACTATTAACAAATGTCACCCCAATACATTAATTTAAAAAGAAAACATTATTCTAAGTAAAAGAAGCTAGTCACAAAAGGCCACATATTATATGATTCCATTTATGTGAAACCTCCAGAATAGACAAATCAATAGAGATAGAGAGTAGATTAAGGGTTGCTTATGGTTGGGGGGAAGGAGGGATTAAATGGGGGAAAGGTGATCGCTAAAGGGTATGGAATTACTTTTTGAGGTGATAGAATGTTCTCAAATTGACCATGGTGATGATTGTGCAACTCTGAGATTATATTTAAAAAACACTAAATTGTATACTTTGATTGGGTGAACTGTATCTCAGTAAGGATATAAGTGGATTATATCTCAATAAAGCCCTTAAAATAAAGTGAGGAAGAGCTTGTGGAAAAAGGAACCCAGACATTTCATTAATGTTCAAGGAAACGACAGTCAGCAGTGTGTGGTTTCATGGGACCTAGCGGCAGGCTTTCCTCAAGATCAAAGCCACATTCCAAGGAGAAATTTCCACCAACTCTTCCCTCCTCTGTGCTGCATTTTCTACTCTTCCCAACAAAGCTGTTCCTGCTCAGGAGTTTAGGCTCCATAGCTCAGGTTTCACTGGGTACCTTTAAACAAGCGCCTCAGTTCCCCCACCCTTTCTCAGAAGATCCAACCTGTCTGCTAATTACAGGAGGTTATTCCCTTTTAGAGTAGAAGCTGCAGCTGAAACTCCTCAAAACATGTTCCCTGACAGCCTGCCTCCAGTTGTTAAATTTTAGAGTTTCTCTGAGTAAGGCATAGTGGACTCTAGAAGTCCTCATTTACTATGGTAGCTTTGGAATAGCTTCTCAAAGTGTGGTCCATGGGCCACAGCACCACTAGGGGAATGTGTCACAGCACCACTAGGGGAATGTGTCACAGTGCAGGTTACCAGGTTTCCCCCACACTCCGGATAAGAGGCCTGGGAACCTGCATTTAAACAAATTCCCCCAAAACATTAATAGATGGAACTATTCAAACACCTGAATTTTTACATGGAAATTTTTATGTGGAAGGGGACTATGGGTGGCAAATTAGCTGGAAGAGGAAGTAGAGGATTTGGCTTAAAAACAAACTTAGATATAAATATGCTGAGGGTAGGGGCTTTGCAGGTCCTCAGCCAGGCACTGTTGTTCAGGTGACCGTTATGCACAGGAGGGATTTAGATCGCTGGATTCTAACAGAAAGGGCAACATATTAGGAGCCAGGCATCCTGGGTGGGAGCCCCTCCCCAACACTGTGGTCTTGAGCCCATTCCAAGCTCCCCCAGCATCAGTGCTTCCCCTGCCAGGGGCCAGCTGGTGATGCTTCCCCTGCCCGAGGCCGGACCGCGTGACTGGCTGGAGTCCCTGAGGCCTGCACTTGTGAAGTCCGGCCACTCTCATTGCTTTGGTTTCTCAGGTGACCAGCAAGAGAGCAGGAACCAAGAAAAGCAGGTGAATTGGGGGGTGGGACTATTAAAC